GGGGGGGCTCTGCAACTTACCTGGCTGCTTCTTGCTCTGCCTGAGGGCTGCTGGGAGCAGAGGGTGGGGCTTGTTGCATGTGCCCCCCCGGCTCTTTACTGCCGGAGCTCCGCTCCTGTGTGCTCCTGCAGGAAATGACCCCTGCAGTAAATAAATAAAATGCATGCTGTCATGAGATTTCTGGAGGAAGGGCAAGGTACAATTAGACAGATCTGGGGCTTTCTTAATGGCTAGATGACTAATCCTCTGAATCCCAGAGGCAGGAGGTGACATCAGGAGAAGGCCTTGGTCTCTCTGCCCTGTTGTAACTTGTAGCCCTCAAGAGGAACTGGTTGGCCACTGTGTGAAACAGGATGCTGGACTAAATGGACTATTGGTCACATCCAGCAGGCCTCTTCATATGTTCTCATGAAGGTCTTGGCCTCTCTGCCCTCTAATTGGACCTCCAGAGGATCTTGTTGGCCGCTGTATGAGACAGGAAGCTGGACTGGATGGACCACTGGTCTGATCCAGCAGGGCTCTTCTGATGTTCTTATTAGGGGAAGGCCTCTGCCTCTGTGCCCTGCTGTTGGCCCTGCAGAGGAACTGGTTGGCCACTGTGTGAGACAGGATGTGGAACTGGATGAACTATTGGTTCTTATGTAGTAAAGGCCCTGTTTTCTCCTTCCTTGCTGATAGAATGTGATTGCTACCTAAAACGACGATGAATCTCGCGGCGCCTTTGCAGCCGCAGTCTCCTGCTGTCGCCATGCAAAAGAACATCCACGTCCTCGTGGGGGTGACCGGAAGCGTGGCTGCCTTAAAACTGCCGCTTCTCGTAACGGAGCTTCTGAAGATCCCCAGAGTGAGTAGCTGGTACAGAGGCGGATCCAAATTACTGGGGTGTGTGTGTCACGCTTCCAAAGGGAAGGGCGAACATTGATGTGATGCTTGAAACATCTTGCCGATTTTAGCACTGGGCTAACGGTCCTGGAAAGAGCTTCCAAAATGACCAGATTATGAGAGTCGCATATGCCAAGTTCGAGCTCAGTAGCATCTTGGAGACAAATAAGATTTTCAGGGTATAATAAGCTTTCGAGAGTTGAAGCTCCCTTCCTCCGTCACATATGCCCTTGAAGTTTTCAGAGTGCTCACCGCCACTGTTAGGGAGTTCTGGAACCCAGGATTGTTTCCTGAGACCCTAGGTCCCGCCAGAGTTCACTTTGGCTGGACAGAGACTGGTGTCAAACATCGCTCTGCTCAGTTTGCCGTGAATGCAGAGGAGAGGGAATTCCTTAGGTGTGTGGGGGGGAAGCAAGTGTAGTGACTGCACTATCTTAGAGGCTGTAACTCTTCCAAAGAAGCCTTCCTCTCCCAGAGGAATGTCATTGAAACTTTTGGTGCTAGCTTGCTTGTGTAGATAATGGGATTGTATATTTCCCAGGTGAAGGGGGGTAGGACCGTTATGGCTAGGCGGGATGGATGTGACGTATGAGTGGTCATTAAGAGGGGTTTCATTTGACTTACCTACCGTGTTTCCCCAAAAATAAGGCACTGTCTTATATTTATTTTTTCTCAAGAAGACACACTAGGACTTATACCACAAATGCATAGAAATCCTGCTAGGGCTTATTTTTGGGGTAGGTCTTATTTTCGGGGAAACAGGGTATATCTATGATTGTACCTGCCAAAATCCTCAGTTCTGACACGGTACAGTTATGACCTGGATCTTGCTTATAACTCAATAAACATATCACTGCCACAGAGCGTATTGTTGAGGTTAACTTGACCAGGGGCCTGACAACTGGCTAGCGATTGAATCTCTTCAGAGAGAGGGAAATGGACAGTTGTGCCTGTTGTACATATTAGATTCCATGTCAAAAATGAAGTCAAATGAGGAGGAAGATCTATGTTTTATTTCAGTTAACAAGAAAACAGTTGGACCAAATAGTCCATCCAAAATTGACTACTTTCTTCTCAGCACATTCAGGAAATATGCTTCAATTAACAGGAAAAACCATTGGACCTAATAACTCATCAACAATTGACAACTTTCTTCTTTTTCTTCTTCATCTTCTTCTTCTTGAACATATTCTGGAAATACATGATATTTTATACATGGACTGACATCATCAAGAAAACAGTATTCAAGAAGCATAATTGGTTACAAGAGACAGTGGTCATTTGAATAATAAGCCTCTGATTTGTCAGATGTAAAGAAACATATATCTACGTCAAATCTACGTAAAACCTGTTTACTTAACCTAACCTAAATGATAATGGGCAAGGATTTTTCATATACCAAAGAAAAGTATTTTTGACTGATACGAGACTAAAATCTTCTCTGACCCAGACATTGCAAGGTTTTGCCCTTAAGACCTACAGAATCATGAACTTTGTACCTATTGTGTTGTCTGCTAGCAATATCAGACCTACAAGAGGAAAGCCTTCTATATAACAGGCCTTTCTAACATCCTAATAAAATATTAGGTAAAGGTAAAGGTTCCCTTGCTCGAAAGCCAGTCGAATCCGACTCTAGGGTTGCGGTGCTCATCTCCGTTTCAAAGCCGAAGAGCCAGCGCTGTCCGAAGACGTTTCCGTGGTCATGTGGCCGGCGTGACTAAACACCAAGGCGCACGGAATGCTGTTACCTTCCCACCAAAGTGGTACCTATTTATCTACTTGCAATTTCTTGCTTTCGAACTGCTAGGTTGGCAGGAGCTGGAACTAGAGATGGGAGCTCACTCCATCATGCGGCAACTCGGGTCTCGAACTGTTGAACTACTGACCTTCCACAGCCTGCAGCTCAGCGTCTTAACCACTTGAGCCACCGCAGCTTAAAGAGAAATCCATAAAAACCAGAGAAATATGAATAATCAAAAAAGGGGGAAATCTTTATAGTCCCATCGCTACTACATGCCATACCAAAAACCGTTTATTTGGAATTCAGGAGTATGCAGAAGAAAATCTCAAAATCCCAAGTGCATAACATACACTATAAAGGAAAACCCACTACGTAAGAGAGAATGCATTGAATGTATAGGAATATATTCCTGTCTGCCAGCCAAGACCCACACAGAATCACCGGGAGTTGTTGGCGTGCAGCCCAGAACAAAGAAGGCACAAGCATTATATACCTTTCTGCAGTCTATAGAATGAAGCGTAGATGTCAGTTAGGAACGTCCGCATGCTTTATAAGCATCCCCTCATAAATAGGCAGTATGAACTTTGCCCAAAGTTAGAATAATTATCTATGAGGTCAAGAAGCTCTAGACAGGTCCTTCCATCAAGGATAGAGAGCTAAGGAGCTATACCAACTGATAATCTATATGTTTGGACTCTGAGCCTGGGATCCTTGACTCTTGGAATGTAAACCATGCTCGCGTGTAAAGGTCATAGGCAGAGCAAGCATATCTGAAAGGAGAGAACACAAGCCAGGCTGCAAAGTCTTGTGGGAGATTGAACCAAAGAACAGATGTCAAAGCCAGTTCAAATTGGTGCACAGAAAGGCCTAGACTCAATTATGCGATAAGTCTGCAACAGCCACCAATATGTTTTCTTCTCTGCTGCCTTGGCCCGATGCTGCTGCTTCATCTCAGAACTAGGGGGAGAGATTGGGGGATGGGAGCCCCTCCCATGCCGAGTCTCTTTGAGCGGGGGCAGGAGACTCTCCCGCTGAGTTTGGAAGGGCTCGGAAAGCAGCGGGGCATCTCGGCGTTTTCGGAGCCTCTCCAAAACACTTGTGCTGGAGTGCATGGGATTCCTTGGTCTGTCGTTCGGCCGAGGAAGGCACAGAGCTTAAGCCCCTCACTTGTCTTAGAACAGGTAAAAGGAAGCCCTTCTTCACGCAAAGAGTAATGAACATGTGGAATTCAGTGCTGCAGGAAGTGGTGGCAGCTACAAGCACAAACAGCTTCAAGGGGGGATTGGATAAACATCTGGAGCACAGGTCCATCAGTGGCTATTAGCCACAAGGTATAGACAGAACAGTACGTCTGGGGCAGGGATGCTCTGTCTTCTTGGTGCTTAGAGGGCACCAGTGGGAGGGCGTCTGTCGTTCTGGCTCTGCTTGTGGACCTCCTGATGGGCCCCTGGGTTTTGGCCACTGTGTGACAGAGAGTGTTGGACTGAATGGGCCATTGGTCTGCTCCAACATGGCTTCTCTTATGTTCTTAGAAGAAGAAGAAGAAGAGATTGGATTTATACTCCACCCTTCACTACCCAAAGGAGTCTCAGAGTGGCTTACAAACTCCTTTCCCTTCCCCTCCCCACAACAGACACCCTGTGAGGTAGGTGGGGCTGAGAGAGCTCTGACAGAAACTGCTCTTTTTCAAGAACAGCTCTTATCAGAACTATGGCTTGCCCAAGGTCATCCAGCCAGGTGCAAGTGGAGGAGTGGGGAATCAAACACAGTTCTCCCAGATTAGAGTCCGTGCACTTAACCACTACACCAAAATGGCTCTCATCCATCCTATGATACGTACCAACTGGATGCAGTTGAGTAAACTGTTTTATGTTTCATAGGATGGATGAGAGCCATTTTGGTGTAGTGGTTAAGTGCACGGTCTCTAATCTGGGAGAACTGGGTTTGATTCCCCACTCCTCTACTTGCAGCTGCTAGATGACCTTGGGCAAGCCATAGTTCTGATAAGAGCTGTTCTTGAAAAAGAGCAGATTCTGTCAGAGCTCTCTCAGCCTCACCTACCTCACAGGGTGTCTGTTGTGGGGAGGGGAAGGGAAAGGAGTTTGTAAGCCGCTCTGAGACTCCTTTGGGTAGTGAAAGGCGGGGTGTAAATCCAATCTCCTTCCTCTTCTTCTTAACAACTTCTGACTGTAAGTGCCAAAAATCAGAATTCATCGGGAACTAGAATGGAAGAACCAGATTATAATAACGGAGAACAATCTGCAGATTCTCTCCATATCTTATGTAGAATAAGAGACCATTTTCCAAACATTCCAGTGCGATAACAATGTCCTTTCTGATACCCTGTGAGAGGTAAGACGCTTAGCTGTCAGTTGGCTCTCTGGAGCTGTTGCACGAATGACCTGCAGGTGGCGCCAGTAGCCAAGTATAAGGACAAGGTGCCCCAAAGCCACCTACTCTGGGCGCTGAAACGGCTGCTCCAGCAGTCAAGACAGGATGCACACCGCCTTTTACTTAGAGTAAAAGCTTCACTTTCCAAGGCTTCAGCTTCTCTTCTCCGGGTTCCTTCTGAGGTGTATCGGCATTCAGTGCCAGACAGCTTAAGCGTAAATCAAGTTTGCCGGCTTTAGGAGTGTTGCACAGCATAAACCACTCAGTTATAGGCAGTAAACATAAAACGGATCTTAACTGTTGCTATCTAAAAATCTGTCTGTTTAGAACTACTCTCTTCAAACATCCCAGAATGGCATTCCGTAGTCATCCATCTCACCCTTCCTGCAGAATGCCGGGCATCTTTATGCTCGACCGGTGAAGCGTGGAGGCATGCATAACTTAAGCATCATCATGTTACATGTTAATTTGCTGTTGAGTCCTGTTGTTGATGGCCCACATTACGTCCCATGTTATGATGCGCTCTTTACCCCATAGAGATTTATAGTGGTAGCAGTGAGCCTATATGTGGCTACTGTACCAAGGGGGGGACTTGTAGTCTAGATGGGACCAATGTTCCCTCTAAGCTGTGGAGTCTTGTGAGCAAAAATTCTCCTTTGTGAGCTGCTGGCATTAAAGTTGTGAGTGAGCGATTTGGCTCCTGCATAAATTAGTTTGCTCTGGAGCCATCCTTCCTGAGCTAAGACAGAAATGTGTGAGCCGGAGGCTAAAAAACTGTGAGCTAGCTCACGCCAACTCAGCTTAGAGGGAACGCTGTTCCCTCTAAGCTG